GCTGAACAAAAGTTTTTGCTTGTTTTTTCAAAGACTAATAAATATTCAAATCCCTGTTTACCTGAATTATTGTAGAATACATCAGTGTTTCTCAAACTTTTTCTGGGGACCCATATTTTAAAAGTCACAAATCTTTTCAACCCAAGCCCATAGACATTATTCGTAAATCACAAAATAAAGGAGGATTTGATCATTATTGAACATTAATGAGGATATTTTATTGTTGACTGAGAGATCATGTCTCTGAACATTTAGTATTACTCAAGTTTTTATACTCAAGTCATTGAAGCAGCAATAAAAGGATCCAGAAGTCGTCTATTTGGAGATTAAAAGTAGAACATTTCTTTTTCTTTTCTACATTCACTTGACCAGCAATATTTGAACAAAATAGTCAATAAAATAATTACAAAAAGATTAGAAATGACAGAAAACATGTATTAACAATTCAACATGTGGGTTAGTCCATATGAAATCAGCCGCCCTCCCCTATGAGCCATCTCAGATTTGGCTGAAAAATTTTCATAAAATTTCTAAAATCACCAAATGAAAGAATCTCAAATTTTAGCGCAATCCCTTGAGTCGTTCCCAAGTTATGGCCCGTTGAAGTTTGGGGGCCTACAATAATACAAATTTTCATCTTCCTAGCTCTATTTTTGATGAAGTTCTGGTCTCTCAAACATGATTATAAATTAAGGTTTCTGAAAAAGTGAGCATGGCCCCAAAATTTCAACAGGCCATAACTCAGGAACGACTCAAGGGACTGAGCTAAAATTTGAGATTCTTTCATCTGGTGATTTTAGAAATTTTTTTGATTTTTTTTTCAGCCAAATCTGAGATGGTTCATAGGGGAGATTCTGGCTGACAGCTGATTTCATACACAGCAAAAAGTGGAGGGTTAAAATTGACTCTCACAGAATCAACTTTAACGTTTTCTCAGAGTTTATATGAGTCCAGTCTGTTCTAGAGTTAATTTAACATTTTTGGAAATGTTAATTAAGTAACATTCGACCAAAGTTTCTGTTTAACCCCGAAATCCAGAGTTATATTAACATTTTGAGAGTAAACAGATAACACTTTGTAGAGTTATTCTGATTTATCTAAACAACACAAAGAGGTGTTTTATTTTATTTTTACTTTATTTTAGATAATTTAAGATGAAATTATGTGCAAAACTGGTTCAAACTGGTCTTCTCTCACAAGAGTTTGAAGGGGTGAATGGGAGGAGCCAAATTAACACTAGAGGAAGTTGAATTAACCTCAACCACATCAACTCTGACAAATAACCCCAACTCAAACCCCCATTTAACATTCAAATAGTTAAAATAACACTTTTGGTGTTAAAAACAACTCTGAAATATTTTACCTTAAAATTTTAACCCTCCAGTTTTTGCTGTGTACGGATTGACCCTTGTGTGAGAACTGTATATCCAGACCTACATGCAGATCATGACAAGACGAACCAAAAAAAATCTGTGTCTTGGGTCACAGTGGAGTAAATTCTTACTCTAACTTGTATTTATAAATAACATTTGCTCAATTCAAGACAATCGGCTTCCATGGTTTTACCAAGTAAAGTTAACTTACTCTTCAAGTAAAGGTTACTACTAGGGATGTAACAATAACCGAAATATCGTGATATCGTATCGTCAAAGTTCGTGGACCATCACAATATATTGAATTACAAGTCTCTTTGTTTAAATGGAGAGTTATGGTGCAGTAACAGCTAAAAAACAGACAGAGGGAACTACATAGACCATGATCCTTTGCTCTGTTTCAGTGTAGACTACAAGAAGAAATAACAGTTTTAAACACTTTTAAATCTTAGTTCTTTTGATTAAGTCTTGTCAAGGCATTTTAAGAGGAAAAAGTAGCATATTAACAGTTTTAGCTGTTTAGCCTCCACAAAATATCTCAATAAATATCGTACCGTGAGATGTATATCGTGAAAATATCGTACAGAGAGATTTGGATATCGTTACATCCCTAATCGTGAGTCTTCCAACCATATGAAGTTCATACCGTGACGATATCGTATCGTGAGACTTGGATATCGTTACACCCCTAGTTACTACATGTTTCAGATTTGAGGAGCTGACTGATTCGTTATTGGCACAGCTTCACAACAGGAATGAGTTCTATGAATGAAAACTTCAGTACTACCACTAAAACTACTTAGATGAAAGAGGAGTTTACTGGACACTACACCGAGGAATTACTTGTAAACTCAGCTTTAGATTCACACTCCACTTTAGTCAGATTTTTCAAGACAATTGGTTTTCTAGATTTTTTCAAGGTCAATTTATTAGATTTGACAGTGCAGTATCATGCTAGCCTGATTCATCAGCCCGTTTCACTTTGTAGAAACTGTCTGACCTCTCAGTGTTAGAATTCGTTTGCTCAACAGTAGGCAGGTACTTTTTTTAATATAACCAGTCGCTGCTATTTGGTCGTGACGTATGCAATGCCCCGTGAATGGGGATAACTAGTATATTAAGCTTTTGTCAAATCCCGTAGGAAGAAAAATAACGTCTTTCCCCTTGATGAAACTCACCAAATATTCTCTTTGCTCCGGCTTTAAATCCTCGATCTTGGGAATCGTTGACAACACTGAATATATGGTTCTTCGCTGATTGGCTGGTGCCCGAACTTGCACTTCCAGAGTTCTTGCAAACCGTCTAGTGCAGGGGTGTCCAAACTTTTTTCATAAAGGGCCACATATCTAAACACAGGCGAAGAAGAGGGCCAATTGAGGGCCGTAGACTGGTGCTCAGTACAGTGAATAATTTAAATGTGAGCATGTTTAACACATTAGAATGAGCTATCAGTCTTTATTCATGATAAGATCCTTAAAACCACACACTAAATGTTAAATATCAGCTTTATCAAGGTAGATTTCCAAAAAACTTGCAGCAAAAAAAATAATTTTCAATTGAGGCAAGATACTTTGGGCCAATTCACCTGGAAGTCTGAGGGCCAAGAAAAATTTGTCTGAGGGCCGCATTTGGCCCAGGGGCCTTAGTTTGGACATGCCTGGTCTAGTGTATTCTATTTCCTGATCTAGTTGCTGGAGAGAAATGAAATTGAGCGGAGGCACTAGGTCTACGTTCAGACTGCAGGGCTTAACGCTCAATTCGGATTTTTTGGTGAAATCCGATGTTTTTTCGAGGTCGTTCACATTTCCAATTAAATGTGACTTGTATGTGACTCCAGTGTGAACATTAAAGGGCCCAGAAGCATCCCACATGTGCACTGGAGACACAACGACGTCAACCGCAGTGAGCGTGCTCTGTGTTTACAGAAGTTGTCCAAACATGGACGCGAGCATTGAGCACCTGGAGATTTTAAAGTTCCTCTCGTACCGGAGCCAGAACATGAACAACTTACTTGTTTTAAGGAGGAGATTGAGAAGGAGAAGGACGAGGTTTTTGGCCGTGGTGTTTTGTGGGACAGCGGCAGCGACGTCCGTTGAAAGGAACGTGTGGATGTGGAGACGTAGCCAAGAGTGGTGAGTGGTGATGTGCTTCACTTCAGTGACACAGAGTTCATTAACAATTTTCACCTACTTCAGAGCAGAACAGTGACGTTTGAGTCTTGTTGATAATGTGTAGGTGGATGAATGCACTTTGGCCGTTCACACTGAAGTCACATGTCAAAAGATCAGATATGTATCAGTTTCAGGAGCACATATCCAAGTGTCCTGGGTCACATTCACATTCACATCTGAGTCATTCAGACTGTCATTAAAAGATCAGATACAGGTCACATAGAGGCCAAAAAATCAGATTTGGGTCACTTCAGGCTTCAGTCTGAACACAGCCTTTGTTCCAGCTTTAAATCCTCGATCTTGGGAATCATTGACAACACAGAATATATGGCTCTTTGCTGAATGGCTGGTGCCCGAACTCACACTTCCAGAGTTTTTGAGACCCGTCTAGTGCACAGGTGTCAAACATAAGGCCCGGGGGCCGGATCTGGCCCTCCAAGACTGATTTTCTACTAAAATATTTTTATTATATTTTCTATTAAAATTTTGTTAATTTTCTGCGGTGTTTATCACAGCAGCGTCTCCAGTGCCTCTGTACGTGGCCCCTCCCACCAGAGCAGCACAAATGAAGACTTGTCTCTTTCCAAACGCTCTTAAAGGACGATCATTTTGACTGTTGACCGTGACACCCTCATCAGAATGTCCAACATGAGAAAAGTGGAGCCGAGTGCAGGATTTTACAAGAAAAATTGACTTATTCCTATTTACATACAAGTTCATGTTAAAACATTGTGTTGAAATTGCATTTTTCTTAAAATTTCAGGTTGTTCATAATATTATAATATTTTGAAAAAGAAAGAGTTCATCAATTAAAAAAGATTTGTGTTTTGTCTGCAGAAATATTTGAACTTATTGTTATTTTTGGGGTTTATATGACATGAGTTTTCTGATCCGGACACTTTGGGATCAAAGTAGGTTGGATACGGCCCCTGAACCAAAATGAGTTTGACACTCCTGGTCTAGTGTATTCTGATTCCTGACCTAGTCGCTGGAGAGAATTGAAATTGAGGAGAAGCACTAGGGGGCGCCAGCCTGGCTAGTATGCACCTTCACTTGACTCAACCATCAGATTTGGGCACAGCAATGTAATACAGTGATACTTCTAACTATTGTTTTTGCCTCATTTCATCTGCTTCACCCTTCTCTACACCACAGTGGGCAAGTATTTCTATTAAAGCCAAAATAACGCTTCATTTAGGGTTAATACCTCTCACAAGATGATTATTTTTAATTTCAGATGATCATTGTGGGGAGTTTGGGGCTAAACTTAGGTTTGGAGGCTTATAGTCCAGGTTTATATCACCGTGTGCTGTACAGTTCAAGTGATTTCTTAACTTAGACGTGTGAGCATCAGTAAATGCGGTCACTTTCCCACTGCCCGGAACGCCTTAAATCCTCGCAGTTAACTTTAATTTTTGCGCATTCGCTTTCCTCCGTCCTCCTATATGTCATTTCCTGTGATAAAAATGGTGGCCAATGCTCGGGGAGGCGACTGAGTCCTCTTGGCTAGAAGCTTTTCCCCCTTTTCCACGGCGGAAAGTTTGGCTCCGAGTCCGCGGTGTAGAGAGCGAGAGCAGCGGCGAGCGGCTGGAGGTGAGTCCGTGCCACCGAGCGCGGAACACGGCGGCGGGCCACACAGTCTCCCCCGCTGCCTGGGTGCTTCCGTGGCGAGTGACAGTGAAATTTAACATGGCTTCCGAAAGCTGCTGCAGCTCGCCAACCAGCCCCAGCCCCTGAATGCGGCACGAACAGCGGAGGAAAACTGCGGCTGAGCGGAGGAGTGCCCCTGACGCATGTGACGCACGGTGACACAGAAGTTAAGGACAAGTTTGGAGCCCGCTGTAGAGAAAAAAGCGCAGTTTTAAAGCGAAATGCTCAAGAGTTTGCGTCGCTGCAGAGTTTTTAAGATACGTAGGCGAATTAAAGAAACAGTCTTCGTCTTGTAAAAGTGGCAGGCCTAATATTATTAACTCCTTCTTGACAGACACCCTTTTGACCAGTGATAAAACGGTGTAAAAGAGTCAAAATGTTTTAATATTAACGTATGCCTAAAAAAGAGGAACGGGCTGTATGAGAAATTTTAATCACAACTGTTTTAGTGAATTACATTTATGTTATTTATTTATTTTCTTATTGGTTCAAGGGCTCGTATTACGCGATTTTCTGTTCAATGTTAAAAATATATACTTGAATTGTGTTTTATTTCATTCACACATGTTTAACTCACAATCCCTGCAGGTTTAGTACTGAGTTCTTCTCTCAAAAGCCCTGGAATTGCCAATCTCTACTGAACTAAAGAAAAAAAAGATGCTGTTCACTTGAAAACTACCTCTTGATGACATCACAAGATAGAACAGAGCATTTTGAGTTTTGGAGATGTAGACAGACTAATAATAAAGAGTTACGCAAACGTGTGAATGAAACAAAACGCAGCTCCAGGTCTGTTCTTGAGGAGATAACAACATTTTAACATGACTTAAAGCTCACAGGAATCTTTTTTTATGAAATACAGGATGCTTAATGTTTATTACACAAGTTCAAAATGAAACCTGTATATTTTATTTTGCGCTGGGTTCATTCAATTTCCTGACTGTCACCTCCCAAACTGGGCTGGGCCTGAACGATTTTAAGAACAAAATTGAATTGTGATTTTTCTGGCAGATATTGTGAGTTTGATTTCATCCACACGATTTTTTTCAAATCAAGTTTCAGTGCACGTGAACATTTGGAAATGTCACAGAAACGTCATACCGGAGTCCTGCGCCGACGATTTGACTCTGGACATAAAGCTGCTCGCTCCTTGTGCTGCTGATGCGGTTCAGCTTCTGTCGGACTAAAGGACACGACTCAGTGGAATATGAGTGTTCTCTCTGTGACAGAAGAGGCGTGCTGCTGATGCCGAGTCTGTTCTGTGCGTGTATCACGTTGGAGGTGGTTCATGTTAAACTTGACACGAACGCCAGGTTTAAATCCTCGCCTCCTAGTGTTGTGGTGGTGAATTACTTTGCGGCGCATAGACCTCGACACAAAAACAACAACGATAAGGCATCAGCGGCAGTGTGCGCTGAGCCGACACAGAACTATACTTACTATTCCATACTATACGATACGATACTATACTATGCTATTCTGCCCTTAAACTAACTCTACTGCCCTTAAACTAACTCTACTGCCCTTAAATTGGACTTTAAGGGCAAAAAAAACACTGCTGTTGTTGCACAGTAAGGCATTAAACTGATCTATCTTACATTTAAATACAAGTACTTTGAAAAACATGTATTTTTACTGTGAGTGGGGTTGCCTCCCCACAGATCTGCCCTGTAACTTGGCCTGGTGGCTTCATCTTGACCAGCTTATCTCCTCAAAGTACATCAATGCTATAAGAAAAGTTACACAGTACACCTTTAAAATGACACATCGAACTACTCATTTAGCAAAAATATAGTCAAGACCATTCTATTTAAGATTTTATCATTTATAATTCTTATAATTTATACTTTTTTTTTTTTTTGGTTAATTTTACTTCCTGGTTGAAAATCCTGACATCACACTAAGGAATTCCATCCTGTTACCTAGCAACCATGTTGTAAACTGGCCTAAACTCTAACGTGGACAGAAATTATGATTTGACAAAAAGAAAATGATAATAAAATGATGATATGATAATAAAACATTTATTTTGTTGAAATCATGTTTGAAGTATCAGAAAAATGTGTAAATTGAACTGAATGTTTGGACAAGACTCTCCCACTGTGACGTCTTCAATATGAAACTCTCTAACTCTCTGCACTTCTGTAATTTTAAACACCTTTTCCAGCTTTTCTTCACAAATCGTTTTTTGATTAGAGTAAAACTGTAATTACAACAGGTATTATTCCACCACATTAAGTAGAAATCGGAAAATCTTTAAATCTAATAGCCAAAATGTTCTTAATCCTAACAGTCCTAATTCTGTGTATTCTGATATATTTTCATAATTGTGTCTCCACAGTGGACACAGAGCTGGAGTGGACGCAGGGCTGGAGTGGACCATGGTTCTATCATGAGTGAGCAGCCCCTGGACCTCTGGTGTAAGTCATCATCCTAAACCAGGCGAGGCAATTCTTTTACCACCAGGGGCAGATTTAATCGCTACTGCCTGAAAAAATAATTTCCTTTGGGATATTAAAATATTATCCATCCATCCATCCATGTATCTATTTATTTCAGTCCAGGCCTGTGGTGGAGGGTTAGACCAATGCACTGGGTGTGCAAAAATATTCAAATACTCATATATCATGATAGTAAATTTAGTGATACAGTATTGTTATCATTTATGGTCATCATCATTTTGGTATCTTAGCATTTTTTGTGACTGCTGTACAATGTTGTTGCTTATTTAGGCTACATGTGCACAGAGCCGTGTTTGTTGAGAAACAAATATTTCTCTCCCTCTGTTTTCCAAAATAACATTGTGCACACAGCATCGTTTTCATAAAAGTTTTTGTTTACATCAACCTGTATAAATACTCCATCGTGCGCCGTAACAACGCCAAGCCTCTGGGTGGCACCTGGATTAGATTCAAATTTGTAGCATTACTCACAAAAACCTTGAAAAACGTGCATTACTGAGCGGGCTCGCCTCTCCACAGATCTGTTAAAGAAATGGCAGAATTGCTGACCTCTGAGCCTCATTGGTCTCTGGTCATGGATCTGATCCATCAGCTGTGTGCAAGTGCAAACACATGAAAAGTCTTTGCACCAGAAGAAATGTGACTGCTGCTCTAAATGCTCCATCTTCATCATCATCATCATCATCATCAGAGCAAAAGGGAAACACCGGTCACACTTTTGGTGTCAGCTCCTAATACTGTTTATCTCACTTTACACGCAGACAACAACCTGGAGTTTTCCAGAATCTCCACTCTATCCACAGTTTTTAGAAAGATTCATTTTCAGAGGTGACTTCACCGTTTGCATGTAAAAGATGGGAACAAAACGAAGGGAAATGTCTCAGTTTTTGAAAATACCCGTGTACATGTAAATGGGGTTTTAGAGTATACAGAGTATCATGTGCAATATATTGACTATCACATGTACTGCAATATCTTGATAATATTAGGGATGTAACAATAACTGAAATATCGTGATATTGTATCATCAGAAGTCTCACAATAATATTGTGGACTGTCACAATATCTATGCATGGTTTTATAGTAGCAACAGCTTATAAACATAGAAAACTACATAGCCCATGATTCATTTCAGTGCAGACAACATGAAGAAATATGTTTTTTACTTGAATTCTTGGGATTATGACTGAAATAATTCACACTAATATCTTGTCAAGGTATTTGAAAAGCAAAAAGGTGTCCCATCTACAATTATATTACCCGCTTTAAAATATCGCAGTAAATATTGTACCGTGAGATGTATATTGTGATAATATCATACCTTGCGATTTAGATATTGTGACATCCCTAGATAATATCATATCATGAGCCATGTATCGCATATCGTATTGAATCTTGAGGGACCTATATAATAAAACTATTATTGTTCTATTCACACAGACCCAAAATGCCCAAATGTGCAAGTGCATAGGCATACTCCAAATCTCACAATGTTTCAGTAGTAGAAAGTAACACATTACAAATACTCATTACTCTAACAGTACTGTAGATTTTGGGGGGAAATGTCCATTGACTACATTTTTGAAGCTGTACTTATTAGAGATGTAACGATATCCATTTCTCTCGATACAATATTTTCACAATCTGCATCTCATTTATTGCTATATTTTACGAAATTGTGAATATGCTACTTTTCTGTCATAATCTAAGTATTTAAGATTTAAACGTGCATAGTAACAGTTGTTTTATCATACAGATTGGACTGAAACAGAGCAAAGGATCATGGTCTATGTAGTTCTGTCTGTTTTTAAGCTGTTGCTGCACCATAACAATGAATTTAAACAAAGAAACTTGTAATTCAGTATATTGCAATGGCCCACAATATTATTGTGAGACTTTTGACAGTACAATATTATGATATTTCGGTTATTGTTACATTCCTAGTACTTGTAGTACTAGTACTAGTACTTGTGATTGAATATAGATCAATAATTAGTTACATCTTAAATCATAATAATTGCTGAGGACTGTACACGTCCCAGTTGTCTCAGTCCACACCTGTCTCTGCTCATACACATAACAACACCTCATCTCCTTCTCTGATTGGCCACAGCTCAAAGAATATGCAGATTTTTCCTTTATGATCAAGATTTGTATAAAATTGTGTTGAAAATAACAGTACTCTGAGTGCTATTTTTCATGCATACTTTTTATTTGAGTGCAGTTTTGGCAGCAGTACTTCATACTTCATCAGCCATATAACTATACTTTTACTTCAGCACAATGCAGTTACAACAGAGTATTTCTAGTACTTTTTCCACCACTGCAGTTTTCTTCTTGTGTCCTCAGTCTGTGAGCAGTGCCAGCTCCCCTTCTCAGACCACTGCCCCACCCATGGTCCCCCTGTGCTGGTGCAGGACACTCCGGTGCCTCTGGGGACAGCGGGCAGGGCCTCTCTCACGCCCCCTGCTGGTGTAGAGGTCTTCACTGAGGGCCAGGAGGTGGACGTCCGCTGCACTGGCCTCGGGTTTCCTCTAGGGGCAGTGTTTGGGCCCTACGAGGGAGAGCTGGTGACTAAAGACAGGTCATCTGGCTTCTTCTCTTGGATTGTAAGTGCCATATTTTTCTGCAGACAAACTCTTCTAGATCAAAGGTAATACTGCAAATGCCAATGATGGTTTGCAGATTCATTAGTTTTTCTAAATAAAACCAAAAATAAGAAAACGAGGAAAAAAAAAAAAAAAACTATTTTCTTCATTATTTGTCTCAAAAACCAAAATGAAAAAAATGATACTTATTCATTTTTACAGTTTTCAGTGCCGGATTTTGCGCCACATACGGACTAAACCAGGATTAAACTGGTCTCAGTCCCGGTCTAGTCCCGGTCTAGTCCCGGTCTAGTCCCAGTCACAAACACAAAATCAAAAACTGAAAAAACTAATTATTGTCAGTTTTTTCATTTTGGTTTTGGAGACAAATAATGAAGAAAATAGTTGTTGTTTTTATTAGTTTTCTTGTTTTTGGTTTTATTTTGAAAAACAAATGAATGAATGATACACAGATTTCATACTCCCAGATGTGGGCAAGAGCAAGAGCGTACAATGTAATCTCTTTTGATTACATTGTACGCTGCTATGAAATCTCCAAAAGGTCAATTAACAAATATTGAACCTGATCATTTCTATTGCTGACTAGACCAAAAAACTCACTGTATTACAACACAAATCTGCTTTTAAACAATATTCATTGTGGCTGCCACCATCTGCATTAAATATATTATTGCCCTATAGAATGTTGTGAGGTCATCTGCACTTTCTGCACTCAGGCTGCGCACATCCGCTGTTTTCATAAACAAATAATCCGTCCCTATATTCGCTGCATCGTTGTTTAAGCCGCAGGGTTCAAAGTGTGAAAAAAAGTAGCAGCTTATAGTCCAGAAATTACATTATCTAGTTTCGATATTAGTCTTAGTATCGATTAGTATCTTATTTTTCGACTTTTGACAACCCTAAAAGCAATAGTAAAATCTTCTGCGGTAGAATGGCGGCGGGTCGAGAGAGGCAGACAGGTGGGGAGTCTGCTGTCTCTCTGCTGAGACAAAAGAGATTTACACTACCTGATGACAAAATCATTGTAGAGGATGAGTTTCTAAACTTTTTGGCTGTGAAAATGAAGACAGTGGCGCAAGATGAACTTATGACATTAGCCACGAGCCACGTCACCTCCGAGTGGATTGCGAGCTCACGAAACAGCACAGTGGGAGCAAAAAGACGCAACTAATGTCAAAAGCTTCTTTGAATTACTAAATGAAATTGGAGACAAAATCCCCTCTTTTTGTCTTGCATCACTTTGATGAGTTACCACCTGTGTCCTTTAACAATACTGACGCCTTGTGTCTGCAACTTCATATCCTGATGAAAGTCCATTGATGGACAAGTATCAGTTTGTGCAGAATAATGTCCCTACATTGAATGCTGCCATCAGAAACATATACAAATTTATGAAGCGCCTGAAGGATCCACAAAATGAATGAGCAGTGTCAGGTTCACTTTAGAACTCTGGAGGCACTGGAGGAACTGCTTCTATGGACTATAGAATGTGATTACAGTTTTATGTGTCTTCTGTCTGTTTTTTAAATGTTCGATATGGACCCACTGGAGTCTGAAATAAAGCATGATTGATTGATTGATTGATTATGCTTACCATGTTTTCACAGATCCTTGATGCAAACAACACATATCAGTCGATTGATGGAAGTGATGAGACCAAAGCAAACTGGATGAGGTACCGTATTTCTTGCTCCGAACTATAAATCGCACCAGCCAAAAAATGTGTAATGAAGAAGAAAAAAAACATATAAGTCGTACCAAACTATAAGTCATATGTATCTGTTCAATACATTTTTATATCAGATGCATTAACTTGAATTTTTGGCCTTGCTGTTTACTTCTACTTGACCTTGGCCCAAATGATAAATGAGGAGACAATGTATCTATACTGTAACTTTATTGTCATTTTACTTGTATTGCATTTTTACTGCTGTTACATAATTATGTGGCTTGCACCAAAATTATTTAATAAAAATAAGTAAAAAATAAATAAAATGTCACACCAGAGTATAAGTCGCAGGAAACACCCAAACCATGAAAAAAGTGCAACTTATAGTCTGAAAAATACTGTAATTATTATTATTTTAAAATCTGTTTACAAATGTGCTTGTCCTGTATTAGTGTGGCAGAGTGGTTAGCCTGTCTCCTCCTCTCAGTTGAAGGTTGTGGGTTAGACTCCTCACCTCTCTGACTGGAGTGTGCATGTCCTCCCTGTCTTACTGTGGCAGAGTGGTTAGCCTGCCTCGTGTCTCTCAGTAAGACGGTTGATTTTTGTCGTCTGTTCGTCCAGGTTTGTGCGCACTTCTTCAGATGACAGCGAAAGAAACCTCACGGCCTTCCAGCGCGGTAAACAGATCTACTTCAGAGTGTGTCGCCCCCTGGAGGCCGGAGACAGACTCAGAGTGTGGTACAGCCCAGAGTATATCCAGAGACTGCACAGTGTGTCCCAGGGCAAAATCGAACAAACACTCAAGACAGGTGAGAGAGAGAGATGGACGTAAAGTGATTATGATTATGGTTTTTATCATTCTCTCATTTTTACTTTCTTTGGCGAGAAAATGTCTGGTCTACATATACATTATAGTTTTACTCAAATCATAAAGCAGTTTGCGAAGAAATTATAGGAAGTAGAGAGTTCTATTTGAAAGCGTTCCATTTTGATAATTGAGTGTGTATACATGCACATCAATAACCCAGTTATGATTGGGTTTTTTGAGTATCCCGGTTTCTTCATGGTGCATGTATACACAGTACCCCGGTTTCAGTATCCCGGTTATTAGAAACCGGGTTACTGTAGCTGGTTTATTTCGATAGTAATCGGGATACTTGTGGCATGTAAACACAATATCCTGGTTACTGCAACATAAAGTTGAGTGTGCATGCGTCCAAAACACTTTCCAGTCTTTTCACCACAACAGTAGCGACATAAATAAATTGACCAACATAAATAAAGTGACCAAATGAGTGAAGTGACTGTAAAATTAAGAGCTGCACTAAACCTGCACATGTACGACCTGCACTCGTACGACCTGCACTCGTGTAATCGCTGAAAAACTAAAACATGAACTATCTCCTATACAACACACGCACAGAACAGACTCACCATCATTAGCACCTCTTCTGTCACAAAAAGAACACACATAATCCACTGAGTCGTGTCTTTAATCCAAAAGAAGCTGTTCACATCAGCGGCACAAGGAGCAGCTGTTTTTATCAGCGCTAACAGTTTATGTTAATTAGCCATGTGGTCTTAAGTTTCGTTTCTGTAAAACATAAACAAATGTGATCAAAGCTGAATGATCTGATCAAACCTGCTGATGTGGCTCTACAGTGTTTCTGGTTTATATGTTGTAAAGTTGAGTTTATTTATGCAGAAGATTTTAATGAAGAATCTGTTGGTTTGATGTGTGCAGTGGATTGTGGGAGATCTCGTAGCTCCTTAGCTTCTTATACTAAAGGAGCTCACAGTTTGTATTTTTTCCTGATTTATGAAATTGATTTAAGTTAATTTTTGTGCTTGCACATTTGTAAGATTATGTCAAGAAAGTGGGATACTCCATTTGATCATGTATACGGGGATATGAGTGTCCCGGTTTCTCAGTGCGCATGTAAACACAGTAGCCCGAATACTGACATAATATGGCTAATAACCGGGATACTGATGTGCATGTATAAGCACTCATTGATGATCACACACTTGGAATTCCACAGGGCTCAACGCTCAGGCCAAAATGATTTATTATTTATATAAATGATTCATGTTCAGCATCAAAATTGTTCAATGATGTCCTCTTCACAGATGATACCAGCCTCTACTGCTCAGGTGAAGAACAAAAGCAGCTTTTTTAAATGGTGGAGAGGGAGCTGCAGAAAATTCAAGTCTGGTTTGATATTAATAAATTGGTGCTAAACATAGAAAAAACTAAATTTATGATATTTGCAAAGCGAAAAGTACAAAATCATGTAAAAATTATGTTCAATAATACACCACTAGAAAAAGTCTTTGAAAAAATTTTTTTAGAAGTAACTATAGACCATCATTTAAACTGGAAATCACACATAAATACAATTAGGAACAAATTATCCAAAGTGATATATTATATACAAATATAGATATATTCTAGATAAAAACAGTCTTTTTATTCTATACAACTGGCTGGTAATGCCCGACAGAACCTACGATATTGAGATTTGGGGCAGTACATATAAGACTAATACAAATCCAGTCTTTACCTGCAAAAAAAAAGGCAATAAGAGCATCACATTATCAGCTTATAACGAACCAATCAATGTGTTATTTATAAACCTTCAAACTCTGAAATTTTATGATTGAGTCGACCTTTATACTCGCAACAATCTCCTGTCAAAATCTTTACAGAACATGTTCAAAATCTGAAAGCTCAGAGGCACGACCATGTTTATCAAAAAGAAAATCAGAACAAACATGAAATGTTGTAAATCTGTTAAAGGGCTGGAGCTCTGGAACAACTGTACAGAAAACCTCAAATTGTGCACCAATCTCTTTCACTTTATAAAGAAGTTTAAATGTTTAACTCTGGACAGATACATGAATTATGATACTTAGTTTGTGCTGTAGTACTTTGTTGTTCTGTTTCTGATTTGTTTGTTTCCTCCTGCTGTATTTTTGAAGATGAACTGGTGTTAAGATGAAGCTCTGACAAAGAAACAAAGGGTAAAGGGCAGAATAAGCTTAAGCTTCAGCCGACACCTTTTCAGTCTGTGTATGTTAAATATGACTGTCTGCAAATTAATGTCAAAATATACCTATGACTGAAATAAATAATCAAATAAACAAATAAACTAGGGAGAATTCTATCCAAATGTTCGGCGCAATTTACACACAAGAAACACATTAGTTCTGATACTTTAAATTTGATTTCAACAGAATAAAAGTG